AATTATAGAACGTTTTCTCTCTCAAACTGTTTTTGTAAAACCTTGGAGACAATGGTGAATAATGGCTGAGAGTTCAACAAATTAATGGCATACTTACAATGATGTAGCTTTCACAAAAATAGGAGTACAATGGACCACCTGGCTCACTTGGAAAACTTTATAAGGGAAGCCTTTATAAGAAAAGACCATATGGCTACTGTATTATTATTGTTATAGACAAGCGTATGGTTGCAAGAAAGAAATACGACAACAGCAGAAATAGATTTACGTGGTTTATTTCAACAGGAACATGAGGGTTTGGGACAGCTACCTTGTGGTAAAGTTCATAAGCCGGCTTCGGATCTAGGTCAATCTCTCATAGTAGTTCACACATGTTGACGGTGGTTGATGCTCTCCTGCTGTCAGCTGCTGACCGTGACAGGCCTCAACCCTGGGCACCTGTGGACTCCCTGTTGAACTTCCGTGTGACCGCTTTATAGCGTTTTTTTTTATGGCTTAACAGGCTCGAAAAACGAAGCGAGTATAATTAGAAGGGAAGCATTTTTATTGGATGAAAAATAGAACACTTTAAATATTATTTTATTTTTCGACTGGAACACAAATGTCGGAATATTTGTAAATGAAGATAATGGTCATTATGTGATGGGGTTTTGTCCCATTCACATCCGGCTCTCGCTCTTGAGTATTTGCCTGTAAATCAGCCGAGATATGTCTTATTTTATTTTATAACATTATTTTTGTAAGCCTTTTCCAAATCAGTCTGGAAATATGGGATCATGCAAGATTCACATGACCGCAGACTGAAACGGAGGCTACCAAAATGCATTAAGAAGTTTCTTTTGAATAGAATTTTTGAGGTCCACATTGGATCTATTCTGTCTGATCAAAACAAAAAAAAAAAAAAGAAAGTGTGCCAGTGGGAGGATATTGGCAATCAATCTGTTTAATATTAAAATAAATAATATTGCAAAAGAACTCAAAGGTATAAATGGATTTTAGTATGTAGATGACTTTACTGTAAGGTACTAATCCAAAAATATGCATACCGTAGAAAGGAATCTGCAGCAGAAGGACGATAAAAAAAGTTTTAGATTTTCAAAAATCAAAACAATGTGTGCAGTTTAGTAATAAAAAGAAATTGCATAATGATCCAAGATTACAACTCAAAAAGACAGAAATCCTAGTGGCAGATGAGTACAAGTTTTGGGGAATAGTTCTTGACAAGAGACTAATGTTCATACCATACCTAAAATATCTGAGAATAAAATAATCTTGGTAGGTAAGTTGCAATCTTTTTTTGCTGAGAAGAAAATGCTTTCAATCCCAGCTTTATTGTTTGGACCATTCGTTCAGCAATCCCATTTGATTGAGGGTGATAAGGAGGTGTTTTACATGCAACATAGTTAACTACAAGCATAGACATTCGTCACAGAGTTCAGGACCATTATCAGTTACTAATATTTTTGGTACCCTATTTCTAGCAAATATTATGCATAATATTTGTTTTACAGTAATACATTTTTTTATCCTGAACTCGGAAAACTTCAGGCCAAGCGGAAAAAGCTTCAACCAGTATTAAACATAAACCTACCCCATTAACTTGTGCATGATCTATATGAACTCTAGAACATGGTTCTGTTTCTTTAGGCCAAGAGTGTAACTTATTGTGGTGAAAATTCTTTATTTTGGCACATTTAGGACATTTGCATACATAATTCTCCACATCTTGGATGTGTTCCGGCCACCACACTTCCAGCTGTAACCCTTTTTGTGTAGCAGTTATCCCACAATGCACATTATCATATACACTTTTAATTACTTCTTTTCTACATTTTTCCAGTGGTATAACTAAATCCCCACTACAAATTGGATAATTCTCTGTTGATTGTTTGTGTCTGGTTTCTTTGTATAATCTTTCTGTTTTTGAACAATTACTCCATTTATTGTTCGTTATTCAAGATAAAATTCGACTTAAGACTGGATCTTGTCATGTTTCTATAACTTGTCTATTCATGGGCAACACATCCATTTCCACCCAATGCAAAAATTCATCCTAAACTATTTTATATTCTTTTCATTTTGTTCCTTTTCAAATTGTAGTTGGGACAATGTGTCTACTTGTGGTATCATGTTTCTCTTCACGTATCCTATCGGTGACACCATTTTGTTATGATGATCAAACTTAGTAGCCATTGATATTCTATATACACTGACTCAAAGTTGCCCATGTGCTACAGTTATAGCTCTCTTTATGCTAATTACCTATTAAGTAAACAAATCCCATTTCACCACTGCTGGAGAAATTTCCATGCAGCCTGGATTCATTATCCAAGAAATAATGCTATGATGGATTCCAAACCACATAGCAATTAAAGGAAATAACCAAGCAGATTTGGCCACAAATTTTGCCTGAAATCTTTGATAATAGTTTCAGGATCCCTTATACAGATCTGAAAAGTGAAACAAAATAGTTTAATTCATCAACAATGGCAAAAGTGCACATTTTTTGTCTGATATTTCTTTATAGTGAAGAAAACGGTGACTTACCTCATCAAACCAAGCGACAGCACGTCGCGTGTATTCTATGACAGAAAAAGTGACGAAAAAGAAAATTACTTACCAAATAAAAGGGCACGTATTCCGCATGACATGCTGAAGATGGAATAATTGAATTAAAGAAAAAAACAAGTCCGTCGCTATAAAAGTATTTTGATATGCAAATTACTGAACATCCTATCTCAGATGTCGACGAATGAAAAAAATAGGTTCTGCCGATAAAAGCAGTTGGTGTTCTCGATTCGAGATCAGAAAATTTGGGCATTTTTGGCTACGGCATTTGTTAGAGAGTGAGTTATTTTTCTGACTGGTTACACACATTGTGATTTGAGATAGTACCGGCAAATCGAGTTTTCAGCATTTCTTTCTGCCCCCCGATATTCGAGTCTGTACTTACAGTGATGTTTTCTTTGTGTTGTGGAAGTAATCTGCGACAACTACTTCCTTTGCTTTCAGGACACTTACATTTTTGTATACCCATGTCTCCCAATCTTCATATGCTTCCAATTCTGGAATAAGCTTCTTTGATTTTTGTCTAGTACAGTCTTTTTTGTTTGTTTAGCAAACTGTTTTTCATATTATTTGTTCACCCACTACAAGGTCCAAGAGCCACTCAAGGTAGATAGTTACAATGAAATTGTAGTATGAATCTAAGAGGAAGAAGTAAAAGTACAGCTTATAAGGATAAGTAGTAAAGATAACACTTGACCTTGGACTTGTAGAGGTGAAGATTGTAGTGATTGGAGAAGCATCCCTTTGAGAGTCTGTTCCACAAAGTAGCAGTTTTTTAAGCTAGTCTTTAATAAATTACTTTTATTTGGTTATAAAAAAAGTTATGTTTTTTTCTAGTGCTAAGTTATCTTAGTCCTGATTTGTCTCAGTCTTCAGTTGTTCTTCACCAAACATCATAAACATTATTACTGTGTTTGGGAAGTAATTAGGTATTTCACAATTATGAATTCTGAGTTAACAGGCCAGCAGATCTAAACTTTAATTGTAGAAAACTGTGTCTAGAAATAGTTAATCATCTTTTCACACATGCCTTGCACGTAAAATATCCATAAAGAAAAACGGCCACCTTCTGAGTCAAAAATATTTAAAGAAAATAAGGTCATGTAAGACTTTTCAAGATGTACAAGTAGACTCTATATAATATGAAACCAACTTACTGTGGACAACTTTTTCTCTTAGTCTTGTCTCGTGACTGGTGAATTGGTTGAGTTGTTGTTGCTGATGTGACTCCGAGGTAGTTTTAAGCTATTGTTGCTACCGCAAATTGTTCCAAATTTCTTGTGTATTGTTTGCCGCTGACAGTAGAAACTTTTCAACACATTTAACTGAAATAATATCCCCATCAAATGCAGCAGACTTATAACCAGGAACACCAACCATCTGTTTCTGTATTATTCTTTGTTACTGAATGCTCCGCCATTTATAGAATGTTTTAGTGATTGAAACAAATAAAAATCACCAGGTACTAAACCTGATGTATATGGGGGATATACAGGATGCATCTAAATTACACAAAAATGAAAATAATACTTACATCTCATTTTAAAAGATATATTTACCAAAATTATGTAACAATATCTTGAAATACTATAGAGTAAATTTATTCAATAAAATAGCCAATGGCTTCAACCACGGCCTATAAACGACTTTGGAGTCTCCTGCAACTCTTTTGGATAGTCTCCTTGTTTAAGTCAGTGAATGCTGCCATAATCCTTGCCCTCAGTTTATCTTTAGAATTACAGGGAGTTTTGCTGGTCTGTCACTCAACTGTGCCCACACACATAATTAACAAGGAGGGTTGCAGTCTAGGGAGTTAGGTAGCCAAATGTATGGGGTGATATGGTCGCAGAGATTGTCTGACAGTCATGACTGGGTTCTCCTGCTTGTGTGGCATGGTGCAGAATCCTGTTGCCAGATATAGGTTATTCCAGCAGCCACATTCTTGTCCCAGAGCAGCACTACATCCTCAAGGCACTTGATGTTGGTCTTCCTTGTTGAGTCTGAGGCCCTGTGGGAAGATGAATGGAGGCATATTGTCACAATCACTAGTGATCACTCCAAACACCTTCATAAAAACCATTAAGCTCCATGTTTAGTCTGAGGCCCTCACCAACAAATTCAGTATTTCTTTTCTTATCAGAGTGAGTTCTCCAAGCTGCCGTATCTTCGTAATAACCATTAGACTCAACCAACTTTCCACTATGCCCAAACACTCTGAAATGTTCAAATGTTCATATTGGAGCTTCTGCCATGAATACCAAGCAGTTCAGCATATTGTTTTCAAATTTCTAGCAGAGTGAATTGCATCATGGTGCTCTTTTTCTCAAAGATGGGACCCAACTGACCCTATTATACTTTTCAGTTGACAAAATCAAAACAAACAATGCAGAAAAGTAAAAAATATAAAATGGCTACAATTTACCCATCGCTCCCTATAGATATGAAGAATTGGGAAAAATGGAAAGAAAGTAAGCAAATAAAAGAATAAATGTGTGCGTGTAGAGTAAGGAAGAGATGGCAAAATAGAGCAAGATGAACTGAAAAAAGAAAAGGGAGAGCACATGAGAGATAGAGTGATTTAGTATCCAACAAAGAGAGAGAGAGAAAAAAGAGTGAGAGAAACTTAGTGGCCTAAGAGAGAGAAAGAAATTTAGTTGCTCAAAAGAGGGAAAGAGAAAGAAAAACTTAGTGGCTAAAAGAAAAAGGCAAAGAGGAAAAAAGTTTTCTAAGGCAAGAGGGATAGCTAGTGAAAACCAGTAACCTGAAACAAAGAGAGAGAGAGGTTATAGGAAGGAACACAAATAGCCCAAAGGTAAAGAGAGATAAAGAACAACTCTGTGACTACAAGGTAAAAGGAGGAAAAAAAACAGACAGGAAGAGAACACCAGTAGCCTAAAGGAAAAAGAGAGAGATAGAGAGAGAACAGCTCTGTGACCCCAAGGTCACAAGGAGGAGGGAGGAAGGAGATAAACAACAGTGGCCGAAACAAAAATAAGAGAGGACAGATCTGTGACCTAAAAGAGAAAGAAAGAGAAACAGAAAGAGAATTATAAAGGAGAGAGAGAGAGAGAGAGAGAGAGAGAGATTAGTGACTTCAAGGAAAAATGGATATATAGTAATCTGAAGGAGAAAAAGCGAGTGATCACTGACTAAAAGTGAAAAAAAAAAAAAAGAGATATATCAGTGACCCAAAGAAGAAAGAAAAAAATATATTAGTGATGTGAAGAAGAAATAAACAAAAAAAGAGAAATATCAGTGACATGAAGGAGAAAGAAAAAAAAAGAAAGATATCAGTGACCTGAAGAAGATAAAAGAGAGAGAGAGAGAACTGTAGACTGAAAGAGAGAAAGAGTACCACTCTGTGACCTCAGAAAAGAGGAGAATCAGGAAGAAATCATTGACTGAGCAAAAACAAGAGAGTTCTATGGCCTGAGAGAGAGAGAAGGTACAGTCATGTGACCTCAGGATAAAGAAGTGAGGGAGAATTAAATCCAGGAAGAGAAGACCCATGGCCCAAAGGGAAAAAAAGAGAGTGAAGTAGATGCAGAAGATGGAACCAAGATAGATTTTAATTATCTTCCTTTGAATCGCTTTGTTAATTTAAACTGGCATCAGAAGCAGAATTGATGCTAACATTTCAGTCACTGTTTCATGATAAAACTATTTAATGCATTTTATTTATAGTTTTCCGCTGTTTACTGAATTTGCTTGCCTGAAATAGCCCAGCAATGCTTGCTGATAATCAGAACTGCCAGAATGAAGTGGAAGAATTGGCATAATGTTTGGCTAAGACCAGAGCCAAGGTGAAGAACTGAAATATTATTGGCAGACTTTGAGGAGTGCCTGATTTTAAAACGGTTCTTTCCTCAAAGCAAATGAATGAAATTATAAATAAGAACTGAAAAAAAAAATGTTTATAAATATCTAATTCTTTAGGATTTTTTATATTGCAATAAAGCATTTTATTTTATTTTAGCTGATGGGTCAGTTTAAGAAAAAAAGAAACGAGAAAAAAATTTAGATTTGCAAAAGGTAGAATTTGATTCAAAATAATTAGATTATTTTGTGGAAGGTTGAGGAGGTGAAAATTTGACCTTGTAAAAATAGTCAACTCATCTGCAAATGAAAGGAAAAGAAGAAATCAAATAAAGTGAAAATACAAAATTTTTACAAACAAGAAATTGTTAAGGTGATTTTGACATTTCAATTGATTTTTTTTTTAAATCCAGTTTCTTCTTAAGAAGACAGTTTTCATATGAAAGGAAATAGACTAGACACAGGAAGATTATTTAATGACCTCTCTTTGTATTTTGACTCGGACTGTTACTTGAACTGGCTGCCTGATAGGTTGTCCTTTTTTATACATGTCGGATGGATGCTTAAGAAGACAGTTTTCATATGAAAGGAAATAGACTAGACACAAGATTATTTAATGAACTCTTTTAGTATTTTGACTCGGACTGTTACTTGAACTGGCTGTCTGATAGGTTATCCTTTTTTTTTATATATGTTGGATGAGTGCAGTATTAAACACAAGAATGTGCAAATATTTAACAGAGGAATGGTCAGTTTGTTGCACAGGTTATATTGATCCACAGACCAATATTGAATGACAGATGATAGCAACAAACAAAACGAAAACTTGATTAAAAGAATATATTGCCAAGTTTATTGTTGTTAAATAAAATACATCAACAAAAATATGGTTACAGTGCACTAGGCAAAAAAATATCCTTACATGTTCAGGTAGAGGGTGAGAAGAGCATTGTTTTAAAAAGGCTAATTTAGTAGTCGCTGAAGAGCGTTTGTCCTAAAAAGAACAGTTTATTGCATATCCTTACTGTTGGTGAAGATGGCTGGAGAGGTGGCCAATGGCAAGTTTGAACTGCTGCAGATAGCTAGGGCCATGGGCCAGCTGTTGACTGCTGGAACAGATACTATATCTTGATCCTGTTAATGTCATATTAAATCCTTTCTCTTTACAACATAGTACTCATGGAAGGCACAGTGGAGTCATGGATAGTGGATTGGATTGTGGAATTGGAGAGCGAAGTTCAAATTCCAGTCAAATTCATTACATTCACTTATGGGCTAATATCCTTGGGAAAGGTATGAATCCTCTTCTTCTCCCTCCAGCTATGGGTTAATAGTAGGACAGACAGGGTTCTATAGCCTTGGATGGCTGCTTGTCTACCACAGAAAGAAATGGCAACCTACTGCTGGAAAAAATCTGCTTTGTCAGTCATGTATTGAAAGATACATGATTGCCTAAGCATGTATCATGCCTGGCACATAACTCATTGACTCACAAACTACATATCAAAAATGACTGTTTTATTGGTAAATTTGTACAGTAGGCACTGTGACCAGAAAATAATCATTTTTTTTAAAATTTCTTTTAAAATAAAAAAAATTAAATTTTATAAAATTAATAGGGGGTCCAGTTTGCTATGTAAATTCATTGTAAATTGATCCCCACTCCAAAAAAAGTCTATTCTAATATAAGAAAATCTATTTAAAAAAATGATTATTTCTGATCACAGGACTTATTGTAGAACTCCACCAATTTATTTATATACAGAGTGGCATTTCTGCCTGGGGGTCAAAATATCACGTCCTAACACTTTCACTTCATATCAGATTAGTGTTATTTAACCTTCATGTTTAATGTCTAATATGATATCTGTTTCTTCTTAGCTTTGTCCTATTCTTCATGTAGAACACAGCAGAAAAAGCAAGACAAACTTGGTTCTAGGGATTCTAACTGTGGACAGTATCTCCCCATTGGGTTATAAAAGGAAATTTTGAATAGAAATCTTCATGTTATTAGTTACAGAACCTGGGCAATATTAATTCTTGTTTACATGTCTGTGTCACATAATATTTGTACATCATAGTATTGCATGTGTGCACTCTCTGAAAAATATTACAAGCATAATTTAGAGATAAGTATTGGTTGTCTATGTAATTTTGGTAAAATATTAGCTTAGCATAGTGATTCTTAACCTTGTTTTACCTATGGATCACTTTTACTCTTAATTTCTTTTGGTGGACCCACATAACCTTTCAATGAAAAATAAACTCATTTTATTTTTTACTAATAGATAAGTTTAGAAATTGTATTATAAAAATAGTAAATATATATGCTTTGTTTCGATTGCAACAAAACATCTTTTTTTTCTGTACTAATACTTTTAATATCTGTCTATATTTCTGAGATAAAGGTGTTGGTTAGATCCAGTGACAGGACCCAAAGATTGTGAGTTCAATACTCGGTTAAGGTGGTGGAGAACTTGTAGAGGGGAATTAACAGGAGATAACTGATAACTGACATCCATTAAAACATGGCATGTGGAACTAGAACAGTCTACCACAGTGAGTGAAATAAAGGGTTCAGTTCGACATTCCAACCACCTGAAGAAGGCCAGAGCATACAACGGCTGAAACATTGTAATAAATATAGGGACAAAGATGAGAACAATAGTCCGAATAATGTAAATAATTTTAATATCTTTTACTTTGTCATAATGAATTGCTTGTGGCATGTTGATTTATGTATCGGCCCTCAGAGTGAATGTTTTAACTAGCAGAATTTTTGAGTAAATTTTTGCCATTTTATATTTTTAATTTTGTGCATGCACAGTGTTTTTGATTTTGTTGACTACACTGCATAGATGGGTACTGTCTGTGAAAAAAAAAGCACCATGATGCAATTTACTCTGCTAGAAATTTGGAAACGGCATGCTGTACTGTTTGGCATTCATGCTGGAAGCTCCAATATGAACATTTCAGAGTGTTTGAGTGCAGAGGATTTGGAAAGAGTTGGATGAGTCTAATGGTGATAATGAAGATACAGTAACTCTGAAAACTTACTCTCATCATTCTGATAAGAAAAGAACTACCGAATTTGTTGGTAAGGTAAGTAAACTTGGCAGTGCCCATCCATCTCCGTGTAAAGTTGGCAGTGCTCATCTCTCTCCACAGCTGATTTCCTCTAACTCACATTGGTAACTGACAAGTAGCCATTGGTGAGATCCTCTGCTCTGGTTATTAACTTTGGTCTTGGAAGCCATCTTCCTGCAATATTGTGCCATGACCGCACAGGATGCATACATAGAGGTGGAATCTTGTCTATCCCATTGTGCTAGATGGCCATTAAAGCAACAAGAAGGTTCATCAGGCTTTTGATAGGTCTTGCATTTAATCCCATTAAGCGTCTAACTGCCATCCACATGAGAAAATCATTACAACCACATCAGATTGAAACACCAGTTCCCATATGATTACCAAAGTTAAGAAATATTGAACCTGGTCAGTACCTCGATAGGTGACTGCATGGGAATCCCAGTTGCTGTATGCAAAAGCTTGAAATTGTTAATCAGAGAACCAAGTTCCAGTTCAGTTCATTATATTCACTTACACAAATGGGAAAGCTATAAATCCAACTCTTCTCCCCCAGCTATGGATTAATTAGTAAAACATTTATCACTAACCAATTATCTCAAAAAAAAATATTCTTAGAATTTAAAGATATTTTCTGGCTTTAAATACCTGCAAAGAATTGATAAGCCCTAGAAACAGAATGAATGAATGAATGAATGAATCAACCACACTAGAAAAGCCTAGCTGGGGAACCCGTTTAATCATTAATGATAACCCTACTATTCAGCAGGTTATACAGGGTTACACAGTATCAGTAACACTCGTAGAATGACCTGACATGAATTGAATAAGATGGTTCAAATTTATGTTACAACTGTTCTTGTTAAAAAGAAAATGAATGTTTCATTCAACTTGAGCTTTAAGAATTTGATCAGGTAAAGTGGGGGGGGGAGTCGAAGTGAAAATTGGTTGTTTCTAAAACCATTATGGAAAGGTTATCAGTTCAAACTTAATGACTTGAATTATCTTTCAGAATTGCAGATTTAGATTTTCTTAAGAAATTGGAATTTAGAGTAGAGGAAATGGTTTTTGATATCAGCCAATAAAAGTTTTTGACATGATGGGAGCTGCTTTTGAAATCAGTTTCTGCAAATCTGTCTTTAATCCTTTTATAGCTGAACAGGTCTCAATGGAATTCAATATTGCTCTTCAAACCTCCTCTAACATCAGTTGTATTTTCTCATATAAGGTCAGAGGAAGGGTCAAGTTAAATTTTCCCTTGAAGATAATTCTTGAAATGTTCTGCTAAATTTGTCTATAAACTTTACCATCAAAAAGAACTAAAAATATTTAACCCAAAGGGATTTTAGCTGGATTATCTGTTGATAATTGAATGACTTCATTTTGATATAGTCTCTTTCTCCCTTCTCCCTTCTCTCTCTCTCTCTCTCTCTATATATATATATATATATATATATATATATGTATGTATGTATGTATGTATGTATGTATGTATATGTCTGTGTATATATATATATATATATATATATATATATATATATACATACTAGAATAAATCCTAAGAAGACAGGCAAGTTTTTTGCTCTACTTAGCGTATTGAGCACTCTACATTTTAGTCTTTCTAATCGTTTGGAGTTTTTTTCTTTGAACTAAGGACTTAAATCATTTGGAGATTTGTTTTGTCTTGTTCTGAAGTTTTTAGTTCTTTCTTTTTTTATTTCCAATTTTTTCCTTGGGTACCAATTTGTCCTGACATAGCTGCAAGTTGTGCTATCCGAGGTTTTCAAAAAAAATACTATTATTAATATATATATATATATATATATAAGAAGAAATAGACAAAGGTTATTAGAATTAAATATGCTTAGTGCTTGCTAATCAAATAATGTGCAATGTTGTTTTCTTTTGTTTACTCATGCTTTTGGGTTTTTTTTATCATTTCACCCCCAAGCAATAAAGCCACTAAAATGCAAGGATTAACAGAAAGGACAATGATCACAAGTCAATGCAAAAAATGAAGATGAATATGAAATAGAATAAAATACTTTATTTTTTTGTTAAGATTAAACTTGATGAACCAAATCTGTTATTATTTATCAATCTTGTATATATATATATATATATATATATGAAATGGACAAAGTCTGACAATTATTTTAATATATTTTATTGTTATACATTATTTATATAGACACAAATATTTAAGTAAATTCTCTGTTTATAATAAACAGTATTAACAACATTTACCTGCCTAAACGTCTGAGAAATTTTCATAGAAAATATGTGTTCTTTGACAGGAATTGAACTTGTATCCTACACAGAACTGTCATATAGCCTGATGTGCTATACCAGTTTAACTACAGATGAGCATCTGGTTAGGAAGGTCGATTTTACTGCTTTTAAACTACAATTTTCCATGATTAATAAAATATATTAAAATATATATATATATGTGTGTGTGTGTATATATATATATATATATATATAGAGAGAGAGAGAGATAAAGAGATTATGTGAGAGAGTATATCTATAAAAAGACTACAAAAAAAGATAAAAGGAAAACTTAGCTGACACATGTCATCCTCTATCAAGACAAATATAAGAATTTTATTTTGTGACAAGTATTTATATATAAGAGCAAAAGTTGCATTATATTTTTAAAATCTTTGGTATAAGGGAGCACATGAATATTCATCAGATTGGCAAGTTCATGGATGTTTAATGTGCAATGCCTAATAACACTTTTGTTTATTGGCCATTGAACTGTCTCACCTCACATCCATGACCTTGCCTGACTTTTCCACCAACGTGATGAATATTCACAAACATTCCTATACAAAAAATTTTGTAAAAGGAATAACATTTTTGCTCATTTATATAAATACTTGTCATAAAATAAAATCCTTACATTTTCCTCAATAAAGTCTCTCAGAGGATGAAACACATGCTCTAAGATAAGTTTTCCTTTTGACTTTTTTTATATATATATATATATATATATATATATATATATATATATATATATATATATATATATATATATATATATATATATAGTAAATGAGATAACTAGATATTAGTGACTGTAAAATAAACAATAAGAGATATCTCATGCTTGATGACTTGGGTAACTAACGAAACTCAAGTCCCACATCAAACAGAGGTATATGTGTATTTATTAACATATATATAGAAGTGAACATTGAAGTCAACACTCAGCGCTGACAGAGTGTTACATGCTAGACACAATCATCAGGCCACATGTGTTAGGATTTTCTCGACAATTTATATATATGGGTCGGTGGTACATTGTGACTAGTGCAAAATAAATTAATCCAAATAAATAAATAAATATATAAACAATCCACTCCCACCAAAATAACCGTTAGAATGGACTACCCACAATGCACCACTGACCTATATATATGCAAATTGTTGAGAAAAAAAACCAACACACGTGGCCTGATCATTATATCTACCATGAAACATGAAAAAAAATTTTGCTTGAAGATGGAACAGAGCTTAGTAATTTAATTCAATTTAATTCTAATAATTATATTGAAGTTTTCGGCTCTTGTTTTGAAACATGAGAACTCTTATGTAGCGTGTTGGAATCATATTTTTAAATAAATAATTATATTTATGCTCTACTTTTATATCGAGCACTATTTTTTAAAATAATAACAAAAAATACTAAAGAACTTTGGATTATTTACCTAACAAGTTCTTTCCTATTTTCTATATATTTTCACATGTATATATATATATATATATATATATATATATATATATATATATATATATATATATATATGTGATGTTCAATAATTAGTGTTACAAAGTTTTTTTGTCCATCTTTATAAAACAAAGCAATCTGTAAATCTTTTACAAAGTGGAAACAAAAAACCAATGCCCATAAACTTATTTGCTACACTATCTATTCAATATGCTTTACTTCTGTGTCAATAACTTGCTGAAGATGCTTAGTGGATGACCTGCATGAGGCATAGATAACACTTCAGTGGGTATTTTGTCCCATTCCTTCAAGAGTTTTACTTTCAGAGACTCCAAACTGTGGTGGGATGTAGCAGAAACCTTGTTTTCTAAGATATCCCAAATGCTGTAATCAAGAGGATTCAGGTCTGGAGATGTTGGAAGCAATTCTTCCTTCATGATGGAGTGAGGAACATGGGTTGCTAGCCACTGGGTTGTTTTAGTCCCATGAGAAGGTGTTGAATCTTGTTGGAATGACTAATGTCGGTTTTTGAAATATATCTTAACCTAAAGCAATACTGATGATTCAAAAATGTCCTTCACATAATTTTCTCGATTGCATTTAATCTCTGGTTCCATAAAAACCAATGGATGTTTTCCTGTCCCAGTCAAAGCAGTCTACACCATCACAGAGGCAGCTCCTAGTCTTTGAGTAATTGTCTGAAGTTCACTGTCTTCAGTGCAAGATCAAATACAATCGTTCTGGCTGTTAAAATGTTGTCAACCATCTTCTCATCACTGAACACAAGGTTTTGGAGCATTCCTGCCCAAATGCACTTGAGGAGGACTTGGCATCTGGTTTGTGGTTTCTCCACAGATCTTGTAGATAACAGTGGTTTCTTTTGTCAGGAGACGTCTTTATGGAGAATGGTTGACATGGTTTGAATGAACACATTCACCTCTTCTGCAGGATTTCTGAAAGATTTCTTCATATTTTTTCTTGGCTTCTCCCAGGTGGATTTCATGAGCTCTTGGGTTTGAGCTGTTCAAAGACGACCTTGTCCATGCCTGTTTTTCACCTTTCCAGTCTCGTTGAATCATTTGATGGTCCTTCAAACTAACATTCTTTTGACTGTTAATGATTTGACAATATCCTTCAGAGTGTTCATTGCCTTGTACATTTCTAAAATGGTGAGTCTTTTAGTAAAATTTTTAGCCATTTCCAAATCTAGTTCCTGAAATTATAAATATAGATCAGTTATATTAAACAAATCATATACTATCTCGAAAAATGATAAACTTTGAAATTAAATTAAAATTAATCTGTATGTAATGATAAATATGAAATACACTCTGTGTGTGTGTGTGCATCTATATACAATGGTGGGGGGAACAAATATTCATACATATACAAATTTTTAATTTATTGTATTTACAACTAATGAATAAACATTATTTTTTATATAATTAACTGTACACAGATGCATAATAAATAAATATGCATAGAAAACAGAAAAAAATTTGATTTAATAGAAATAAATCCCATTTACCATTTTAATGGGTGAAAAAAGTATTTGTACAATGCAAATTTCAGATTTTAAAACTTTTAAATTGCTTTAATACTCTAGATTATTCAAGTGGAATATTCTGGAATATTCCAATAATGTTATCTAGTTATTTTTATCCTAAAAAATACAAACAGAACATTCTGTAATTGATATTCATGCAAGAAGGTTATCAT